ATGGACAAAGGATGTCGGGTTTGGCCCCGATACTTGGGGTTGAGGGTTTATAGGGTTTAGTGTCTTAGGTTTTAGGGGTTTAGGGGTTGAGGGTTTAGGGGTTTACGGGTTTAGGGTTTAGGGGTTTAGTGGTTTAGGGGGTTATAGGGTTTAGGGGTTTATAGGGTTTAGGGGTTTAGGGTCCAGGGCTTACCCATAGGCTCCATGGTAGTTCCTTTTTGGGGATTACCTTCTAGGCTCCTAAGTTTGCACCACAAATGAAAGGAGGAACTACAGTGGAGCCCATGAGCCGTATCAGCCGTTTGTCCCAACGCAAGTAGGACCAATTCAGCGGAGAACCCATAGCCGCGAACCCAAAGGCCTCAACCCTAAAACCCCGGACCCTAAACCCCAACCCTACACCTCAGATTACCCTAAAACCTAAAAACCTGGACCCTAAACCCCAACCCTACACCTCAGATTACCCAAAACCCTAAAACCCTGGACCCTAAATGGTGCAGCGACAAAAGATAGCAGCTTAGGGTTCTGAAGGTTCAGAGGAGTCGGAGTCTCAAAACGAATCTCTGAACATTCAAAAAAGAAGCAACCCTAAGTGCAACTTCCCGAAACGACTCACCAAAAAACATAAGCCGCAAAGCAAAGCTCATTGACCATCTTCACAAAAAAGGCCACCAACACCTAAACCCTAAACCCAAACCCCTGAACCCCGAAAACATGAAACCAAAGCTACCGATGGTTTGATCCCAGTGGCGGAGGGCAGCAAAGGCACCGGTAGATCCTTCGATGACAGAAACCTGCTAGGCTTAAGTTTACAGTTTAGGGTTGAGGGCTTCTTACTTTTGTTGCGCCCTTTGTGTTCTGTAGTCCGTGTTTTATGATTGGGGGCGTTGGGACGTTCGCGTGCGCATGTGTGCTTGTTTTCGCCTGCGCTCGTGGCTTCGGGCGTAGACCTTTCGAACTTGTGGCTTTATCATGGCCGAGGTAGGTGGTTCCTGAGAGCGTCGTCAGGCTTGGCAGGACGCTTCAACTTTGCTGTGGAGCAGAGTGACGTCGAGCCTTGACAACCCAGCTTTTCTAGCATACTGGCAGGCGTGGCGGACTCCTACAAGCGATAATTGCCATCAGGACCCTATCTCAACCGCAGTCATCGCATTTCCATTTTCGTCCACAGAAAAAGCATGGGGTTACCTTCCCGGCTGCCACCAAGCCTTTGCTACAAGCGGGAATACTGCGACGACGACGACGACGACGACGACCACGACGGCGACGATGTGTCTTTATCACTGCCGCACAGTCATCCCTACTGACGCAACCAGTAACAATCAACGAGGACACGACACCGATCAGTAACGTATTGCAAGGGCTGGTCGGGAGCGCCATAATCCGCACACCTCAAAGGAGTCATACGTTGGTTGAAAGAGGATTCTTCCTCGGGGTGCTACTGCGACAGCAGCATCCGCAATGGCTTAGCTTCCAGGTATTCCTCCCGAATCAGGGGTCTCTTGTCGCCCCAAACCTAAGCACCCACAGCTGTTCGCGCGTTTTGCAGCCTGCAGCTCCTGGAAGGCACCATGGGTGCGAAGAAGACACCGCAGACGTTCAGCTATTTCACGTTCGTGAAGTCTGGCAGGAGTTTGATGGTAGTGGATATTCAGGGCATCGATGACATTTATACCGATCCCGTGATCCATTTCTTGCCGTGTCATGCGTCCGGGTCTTTCAGAAAAGCAGACAGTTCAGTGAATCTGGGTATTCGCGGCTTTGCTCTCTTTTTGTGGAGCCACCGGTACAATGATGTGGATCGCACACTTGGGTTGCCAGTGTTTGCCCTGGCACGCTCCGAGCTGGAAACGCCGGTGCCGGAGCAGGGGACCTGCATCCGAGATCTGAACGCCGGGGTTGGTGTGTGGGATCTTACATCGCGCAGTGGCCACGGCAACAGCAACGTTGGGTCCTCGGACAAAGTGATGCTGAGCTCCGTGCCCGATCTCGATCTTCGCGCCTCCAGTTGGGACTTGTCTTTCCAACGCCCGAAGTCTTCTGTCGCCCTTCCACTTGATCTGGTCGAAGCTGCATGCCACATGGAGATCGCAGCCATGTATCACGAAGGCAGGCTCTCCCCGAATGCTGCATCACTCCGGACGCGTGCAGAACTCGAGGCAGCAATCTTTCACATTGCCGAGGCTGCGAAGCAGGGCCTTCCCGAGGCGCTCCTGGCCTTGGCGAGACTGGCTTCTGACATGGACCATTCGGAGTTCCTTCCACAAGTGTCTAGCACCGAGGCAGAGAGGCCTCTGTGCTTGGCTTTGTTGCGGACAGCTTCCAACCTAGGAGTGCTTGCAGCACATGGAGCGGTAGCACGTTTATTGGTCGACGGAGTCTATTCAGACAAGACCGAGGAGGCGTTGCTAGTGGCAGCAAACTGTCTCGAGAAGTATGCAAGCGATGCATCTGAAACAGGGACAGTACTGCCGGAGCCACTGAAGCACGAGGTTTGTAGCAGGCATGGGTGCTCTTTTGGATGGGATGCCCATGGATGGGAGCCTCACAGCGCATATGCTCGTGCTGCCGAGCTTTACGAACACGAGCTAAGATCTCGGCCTGGATCTTGGGCAAAGTCCCGAGAGCTGTGGTCCCTGGCTGCAGAGTGCGCTCTCGAAGATCCCAGATTGGCGAAGCAGGCTATGCGGTACACAGAGAAGGCAGAACAGGAGGAACTAGAAGAAGCTCAAGGATCCGGGATAGACACTTGCGACGAATCTGACGGACAGGGCGCTTTGGTGCTCCGCCTGCAAGGCGATCTGCAAGAGCGCTTCCAGAAATTTGCAGCAACTTTCACATCCGCTGAAGATGCCTTGGAACGCTTGCTTCAGTTGGCAGAGTCGGCAGAGGCAGCCAATGCGGCTGCACCATATGCGTCTGAAGACTTGCCGACTGCTCCACTGAAGGATGCGGAGGAGTCGTCGGCTGCTCCGCTGAAAGAGGCGGCGATAGATGAAGATGTCTGGGCCTTGTTAGGATGACCAAATCTTGATGCCAGGGGAAGGATTTTTGCAAGAATTACTAGGATTCAACTATTCATAGCTAGACTCAAAGATAATATTATGAATATACTTTTGTAGTTTAATCTCAATATTGGAAATATTAGTTTGATATACTACTACTGTTTCAGTATTAATATTTCTATTGATTCCATTCTTTTTTGGTTATCGAATTATATAGTCAAGTGATATTATTTACTATTATTGTGTATATCCTACTAATTCTCGAATAAAACGGTGTAGTGTAGGTCGTGTCCGTTTGTTTGTGCACGCCCTTGACCCCTTGCAACCTCGCCCTTTGGCGCGTTGCTTTTTGGAATCCTCTTGCTTGCGTGTCTCGCGGTAATTTTGGAAATTTCTTTCCCGGTATTACAGCTTCAGAAATTTTAAAAATTTAACGAAATCTCGCGTAATGAAAATTTGAGAACTTTGGGTAGCTTTAGGGGGCGGTCATGAAAAAATCCGAAATTGTTGGGACATGGGCGCAGAAATAAAATTTCCGAATGTTTGGTACCGCGAGCTCGAGTGCCGTGCACTCTGAATGCGGGTGTCTCTCTGTGTGTTTGTGTGTGCGTGTGTCTGTAAAGTGGGTGTATGTGCGTGTGTCTGTAAAGTGTATATGCGCGTATATCTCTCTATATGCGTGCGGGTATATATCTTTGAAGATATGTATTGGTCGATATATCTCTCTATGTGCCTAGCTATCTATATTTGACTCTATATCTATCTATCTCTATTTTCTCTATCTATCTTTATCTAGATATTTTTATCTATCTCTATTTATTTTCATTTTTATTTATTTATCCCTATTAATATAAACAATAAATATAAATATACTAAATAATTTAATTTATTCTACTTGCCTTTTTAAGTAAAACTCTATCTATCTTCATTCTCTTCTTTAATTAATTTCTATTTCCTCCGCCTGAATTCCGCCGCCATATTGCATGATATTCTTTACGATATTCGCGCACTACATTCTATTCTATAACTTTTCTTCTTCTTACTTCGCCCATCAAAATTTCGGAAATTTTCGAGATATTTTTGAAATACCCCAAAATCTGCTTGAATCGAGAATCAAAATATCATCATCACACCGCATTCGTGTTCATGTGAGACGAACACAACGTAGCGCAGCACCACTTCTGGATATTGACCGACAAGCGTCAAAAGCTTGCGACCCCTGCTCAATCTTTCACTGAGAAAAGAAAGCACGGCCCTTGCAGTCAGAACCGCCACACTACACTACAGCTCCCACCAGAACACTCACAAACGCCTGTAGCACCATAGCGGGCAGGTGACAAAGGGACCCACACCTAGTTCAAAGCGTCAAGCTTAGCCTGAATGTCCCGCTCCAAGCTGGACTTCGGAGCTGTGCCATATTTCTCCTGGCCACCAACCTTGGTCAAGGCTGCCATTACGATATCCAGGATGCCCTCCATTGAAGGGTGCACGGAAAAGTAGAAATATATGAACTTCTTGTCAAACGTCTTCTT